CTAGGTAAACTTAAATGAAATACTATAATTTCTATTCTATTTTCGTCTTTACCTTTTGAAAGTTGATTTACCTAGATCGATGTCATAGTTTGTTATATAATAAGTATGAATATTTAGTATATTGTTATCTAAACGTTATCAAAGCTATTGACACTCACTAGAACAATAAATATAAAGCATTCCTTCACACAACTTTTCAGACTTATCCCTCAACGAACTTGCCATACGCCTTTCCATCTTTATTCGCTCTAAGTCCAGGATAGTTTTCCCTTGCTTATAAATCACGAAACATAAATGTCTTAACTAAAACTAAGAGATAATGAGCGTACTTATGTTATAATATTTTACATATTTGAGCTCAAAATACTTAACGCCCAATCGTGATGATCGGAAATATTGCCACCTATATATCTTTGTCGTACCCATATAGAAAATACATCTATCATTCTATATCAGAACGAGCAGGGTAGGAAAACACGGCGCAGGGAATCGATGTGTTTGTTTTGATTTGTTGTTTCATTAGGTGAGATTCCGGATCAAAAAGATGGAAAGGGAAATAAAATTTATAATATGTTATAAAATAAAAGAGATAGATCATAAGATTTTTGGAGCCTAACTTAGTTTAAAATTACTCGCAGGTCTATTACTATCTCAAAGAAACAGAGTAGACCGAATAGAAGCTGCAGGTTTGTACTTATATTTAAATTATATGCTCCATTTTTCTTCTTAACTATTCAAAATATATAAGAAGCTGCTATTTCTTTGTAATAATGCAGATTATATGGTTTTAATATTGTGAATTCCGTATAGAGTTAAGATATATTTAAAAATCTCATAACAATCGACACCCCATTTTGAACTTCATATATTTGCTGATATACTCGTATACTAAGAATAAAAATTTTATATTTGTTTACTTTACTACAGAGTTACATGTTATCTTTTAGGCCGTAAAATAAAAAATCTAATTAAATACTATAAAACCGATGTAATAAATCGATGTTAATATTACGAGTGATAATTTTGTTAATATCAAATAAAGTTCCTTTTATTTTTTTCTAGTTAAAATATTAAAATTCCTAAGGATGATTTTCATTATTCTATACGTTCTTCTATTGTTCTAGTAAAACTATCATCTTTCGATAGGGCAAGAAACTGTTAATACACCTCTAATCAAGGTTTCGCTTGACTCTTGGTGTTTTCAGGTCCACTAATTTAAATCTTAACCGAAAGAATACAAGAAATAGTCCTAGACAAATTCCCAGAGATTCTGCTGATTTGTGAGAGCTGGTAGTAGTTTTTGTTAAACTGCTCCCCTTGTAACTTGTAAATCGCATACACTTGTAGGATGTGAGCGCAAACGATTTCCACGTGTGACTTTTCGCTGGTTAAAAAGTTTTAAAAAACGCTCATTAGCTATGTTTTTAATTACAAATATTTACCTCGCTGCTAAGGCTGCTTTAAACTTTCATTTCCAATAATATCTTCACAATCTTCATGTGTATTTATTGCACTCCATAAAATTTATTATATAAACGTTCTGCGACGTCAACAAATAAAAAGAGAATGATTGTATGTATGAAAAAAATAATTACGCTCTTTAAAGTTCTTTTGACTAGTCTTAGAAAGTAACATGATAAATTTATGAGTAGGAAATATCTCATACGAAACCAACATCACTTACGAGACACCCTGTATTTCATTACGTTTAAAATTTGAAAATTTTATTTTCAGACCAACTTTTATTAATTTAATTGTATATCTGAAAAGAGTAATATTAGAAAGGAATACAAGGAAAGTAAAGAACAAGTCCAGTTCTCGAGATTATTTTACAAAAAATAAATACAAAATTTTATCTTATACAGGGTGACTGGTGAATTACTATCAATATTTAAGGAGCATACTCGGTACATGATTCTCATTCGAATTATGTAAAAAAAATAGGCACTTAATTTTTGACAAAATTTCCGTATAAATAAATAAAGTGTTGACACGTTCCAAGTGTTCCAAGTGTGGACGCGTACGGCGGCGTGCTGATACAAGACCACGCCCCCGCACGCGTATGTGTGTTGTGTGTTTATACCTAATCTGTAGGGTGTTCATACGATGCGTAATTAATTACATAACTTTTGGTTAACTTTACTTAGAAGTTTATTAATATTTATGTTATATTAATTTTTATTTTGTTTTATATGATCGTCAAATATCACGTCCTCAAATATCGATAGTAATTCACCAGTCACCCTGTATATATATATAATGTGATCCACACATAAAACATGACCCCCAGTCACAAAGTTTTTATATCAATATCACTTATTTTATTCACGGTTAAATTAAGATATATTACATTTGAATATTCAAGAATATGATAAAAGATCTATAGTCAGAAGTTTATCTAGTAATAACTTAAAAAGTTAGGAGGATGATAATGGATATAAAAATTGATGGACGAATCGATTTCCTATGTAATATTAGAGATCTAAGAGAAGTTAGTCTGCTATCTTGTTACCTATGTTTTAAATAAAATTATATATATGACACGAAATCTCTTAGTATCCAATGGATATACCGTGCGGGTGCCGAGCCCATCGCGTTGTAGGGAGAGGAACTTCAACAGTGCCTGGGACTTGCGACCCAGGTGTTGGTTTAAGGGGTCCCTATCTAGCGCGTTAAACGCTCACCTCCACCATCCAAGCTGCTGTCTCTATGTAACCAAATTTGAAAAGAAACTATAAGGACAGCCTTCGAAGCACGTTCGTAGAATGAATCAATGTGAGTTGTAATATATACATATAGCTCGAAACTGAAACTGGGTTGATGTCTCCATGTAATTGAAAATTTTAATACTAATATGATTTTCCACTCCACGATCTTTTGCATTAGCTCCGAGCTGAGGTATTACAGTGTATCAAGACTAATTATACTATATATAATTCTAATTAAAATAATAATCAAACGAAATGAAGTAATAATAGTCAATAAAATTTATATTTATAGAAAGGAAAGCTATAAATACAAATCGTATAATGAGATTACACGAAAATTATTAATATTTTTTTGTTATTAATTCCTCAGTAGCTTAGAATATTTTATAAGAGAAATCCACGTTTTTCTTTTGACGATATAATTATATCAGATTTTATACAATTAAAATAGACATTTAAGATAGATCATTCATTCAATAATTTATCAAGAATTAACATACTAAATGCCTAAACCATATTTCAAAAGAATTACTAGGACTAATAGATATAATTTTTCTAATAAAAAAACGTCATCTAATAATCAGTAATAATAATAAATATTTATTGACAAAATATGTTCATTTTTGATTTTATAAATAACGTAGACAGAAAATGTATGTCTTATTATGTTTAGTAAATGTGTGTTCCAAAATGATACTTAAGTCTTAATCTCATTTCTTGGAATTGTCATATTGTATTGGGTACTCATTAAAAGGACTTTAGATATTTCGGGAAAGTTGGTAGATCAATAAGGCGGGCTAAAATTTATCAAGACCAATCATTACAGTCTCCGACAACTGCCAAACTGTCGAACTCAGTAGCGATTCTTTTATTAATTGAATGAGGTAACTTGTCGAAAGTAATTAATTGGATTTCGATAAGTAGGTAATTGTGTTGTCTCTTAAATAAATTTTACTTTATTCTAAATGTAATTAATGTGACGTCAATGTAGATCGACTTTTAATTTTAGAAAATGAAAGAATGGAAGCATAAATTTTTATCTTGTGAAGTGAAATAAATTTGGTATATTTTGAATTAGACTTTTTTTTTATATGAACTTTACTTGTCCCAAAAGTCTTTTCGTACTGAAACAGACACTACACTGACTTTTAATGTATCTTTTCATATAATAGTAACAACATCTTATCAACAAAAACACAGAAAACCTTCAGTCTGAACCTTTAGTGTGACGAAGCAATGTTACAAAGTCTCTTTTAATTAATTATAATACTTAATTCTTATTCAATACCTAATTGTCTTTCAAACATTTCCAATTATAAAAACCTAACAATTTTCATCGATAAAGACTTTAGTGTTTGGGATTTTTAATTTTTTATTCAAACTGAAACAAAATTCGTGTGCATGGATTATATTTAAATCCGGTTTTAGTGGCACTATATTTCATTTTATATGTGAGGCGTATTGCACATTTGTATTTCACTACTAAACAAATGTCTATTTAGGATAAAAATTTTGTATAGTAGAAGTAAAGTAATTATTTTTTATACATAGAATTATTGTGTACAAAATGTGGGATACCTTAATCTACGAGTTATATTAAAACGCTGTACATTTGTAGATTATAATAATTCTGCTTTTGTTCCACCGCGAAGATTAGTTCTTCGGAGTTAATTAACTTAGTTCTAAGTAGGTTTGAAATCCGGCCGCTAATTAAAACTTGTCCAAATTAATAAGAGTCACGTACGCGTTTGAAATAGACGCACATAAAATAGTTTCATGATTTAGTTAAGTTAAATTTAATTTGGTATACATATGTGTATCAAACCGTAATGAATGAAGTTTAGTATAATGGGGATTTTATTGATTCATAAATAGAAATTCTTTGAAAAGCCTGGTCGAAGGAATTCAAATTCCTACACATGTTGTGCACTTTTATAACTAGCTGCCATCAGACAGTTAGAGAAGGATAGCTTTTCCAATAGCAAGTGCCGAGAAATGAAAGACTTTATTGGTCGTAAATAGAAAATTACACTGTCGGTCGACTCAGGGTGATTTTCACCGAACGTTCCCTGTTAATATTGAACGAAGTCAGTTTTCCTCATGGTCATTCAGAGTCTCTTTTACTTTGTAATGTTTTTTATACCCTTAAAGGTAATTGCGTATTTATATGAAATATGATATTATATTTTCTTAAATAAAAGTCAAAACTCGATTATAGGATTAATTAATATAGATACAAAAGTTAAAAAATGTCTGTTAAATGATGCATAAAGAAATCAATGTATGGTATTATTAATAACAATAACAAGAGCCCTGTCTACACATCCCTACTATGTAGCCCATTCGATGACACATATCGTTACAGGCAACCACATCGCAGGTTCGCAGAGATCTGACTTTGCCTGAAAAAACGGAAAACTTTTATTAAAATACTGGATTGAAGGTTTTAGTTTGACTTGGCTTTATATGTAGCCTACTATGTCTGTTAAAAAAAGGAATTCTTTGAAAATATTTCCTTCTGAATAAATACTACTTTGACATCTTTTACCTCAATGTATTTCTTTCTTTTTGAATTTGGTTACGTAAAGAGAGGAGCTTGGACGGTGAAGGTAACCGTTTAATGAGCGTTAGATAGGGTCCCCTTAAAACTATACCTGGGTCGCAAGTCCCAGGCACTGTTAAAGCTCCTCTCTCTGCAACGCGATTGACTGGCACTTGAACAGTGAATGCATTGCATGTTAATAGTTTTCGTTTCCATATAATTAACTAAACTTACTATTCTTATAGCAGATGCACTGCCCATCAATGCAATATCCTCCGGGTAATCCAAGACTCTGACAATTGATTTCACATGCACTATTACTACATTCCATTTCATTCTCCTTGTTGTTTTCGGACACTTCATTTAAGTCAACCTCTTTTGTATTAATGATATGAGAAGTTACTGAAAAAAAATCAAAGTATACATTTGTTTTACTTGTAAAAATATAAATTTAATTTAATGATTCCACCACAATTTGTAACTTTGATTCCACTAACAAAGTAATGATTGCCAATTTGGAAAGTACATATATGTTAACTTACATTCATTCTTAAAGTTGTCACACTTGCAGCGGTCTCCAACACACACACCTCCCGGGAATCCCAGGCGACGGCACAACTGATCACACGCTTGATAGTTACAGCTCTTGAGTTCGTCAATATTTTGGAGGTTCACTATAATATGGACCAAATTATATTCATTCAAATGGCTTTATTACAAAAGTGAAAGATTAATAGATAGTACAAACATAGAAATACCTCACACCAAACTTCTGACTCTTAAAATAACGTTATCATTGAGTCAATTATATTTGCACTTAAATTAATTTTCAATTGGCATTATGATCACATATAGATTAGATGCAAATTGAAAGGCTCTAGGTAAAAGAGTAGGTCCGAAAACTTGTGGCCAATAACTCTCATTGGTAGACCATGGTGCATTAATATGCACGTATAACGTGTAAGCGCTTTTAAATAGTAGTGTTTTAAAAAGTGATTTAATACATAATGTTGTTATGTTAAATCCGCTGAGCATATAATCTAAATAAATGTATTTATTAAATATAACGGATTATAATACTTAAATTTATGTTAATATTTCGACCAGTTATAATTACACATTATTGAAAAGTAGATTTTGCTTACATACTTTAACCGATTTTTTTTTGAAAATTTTCAATTAATCTTTACGACCTGAAATAGTTGTCATTCGTATCGTGGTGAAATAAAACAAAGGACTGCCCTTTTATTTTAAAATAATATAAGCCAACTTACATTCATTCTTAAAGTTGTCACACTTGCAGCGGTCTCCTACACACACACCTCCCGGGAATCCCAGGCGACGGCACAACTGGTCACACGCTTGATAGTTACAGCTCTTGAGTTCATTAATATTTTGGAGGTTCACTATAATATAGACAAAATTATGTATATTCATTCAAATAGCTTTATAGGAAACATGAAAGATAAATAATGAGAAATCTATTTAGCTATATTATAAACATTAAAAAAAAATAGCATTATAAATTGGATTTTTTAATATTATTAAAAATCCCTTACAATATAAAATATAAAATCCCATAGGATATTTGTGGGTCAACGTCCCGACCAGATATATTTTTATATTCTCAAATTTTAAACCGAGTTACGCCAGCAGAGCTCACGGTTCCCTGGGAAACCAACATCCCAAAGACCATGCCATCAAGGTCCACAAGTATTATGAGGTCACTAACGAACCCACTTAGAATAGATTCGTTGTAAATTTGTACGCGGCAGAAGTAGGAGCAAGAGGTATAACAGTTAAATTTCTCTACAATCTACTAAAACAACTGGACCCGTCCAGAACTAACGTCAATTCACACTTGGCGTCGCAGTCAGCCCTAGTGTAATAGGTTCGTTTAAAATTTGATTAGGTAGAGAGAGGAGCTTGTACAGTGGAGGTGAGCGTTTAACGCGAGTTAGATGGGTGCCCTTAAACCTACACCTAGTTCGTAATTTCCTGGCACTGTTGAAGCTCTTCTCCCTGCAATGCGATGGACCCAGCACACACAGGGTGAATCCAATGCTGGTTTCGTCTCTGCTCAATCGATTACTTTAGAAAAAATAAAAACACCAGTGTAATGGCCATGGCTGGATAAATGTTTCTTTTCAATCGTGGCTACATATAAAAAAGCCCAATTTTAATTTTACAATAATATGAAACAACTTACATTCATTCTTGAAGTTGTCACACTTGCAGCGGTCTCCAACACACACACCTCCCGGGAATCCCAGTCGACGGCACAACTGATCACACGCTTGATAGTTACAGCTCTTGAGTTCATTGACCTTCTCATGATATACTAAAACAATATGCTAGATTGTAAATGTGTTACATTAAAATGTTATAAGACTGTATTTCATTCCATCCTAATTATTTGCATATTAATAAAATTTTTTGTACATCTAATACTAAATCCAGTCAAGAAATTTAGCAGGTTGTAAGTGATTTGACAAGTTATATATCACACAACAAAATGAGGGTATATTTTTAATTTAATTTTTGTAAGGATATAAAATGTTTGATTACTTCATTTAATTTGGTTTTTAAACTTACATAATAAGGATTTGTAAATAAATTAATATTTAATGATACATATTAAGTAATACTCTCACCATTACTGATTCAAATATTTTCTGTCATGATTTTTTTTACACCGATTTTTCTTCTGTAGTTTTTAGTTATATATCTTTATTAAGTTAAATTTAACCATTGAATTTAATTTAGTTTAGCGAATATTAATTTTAAGTAAGTAATAATATTAAATAGATTTATTCTTTGTAATGATTATTAGAAATAATTAATATTTTAAATGCTTACGGTCATCATTCTGGTTACAGACGCAACGCCCGCTTTTACAAGAACCGCCGCTGTAACCCTGAATCTGACAATGATGATTACAGATTTCTGGTCTACAATGTTTTTTAAGTAAAGCTGAATTTTGTTCCCCTAAAAATATTCAGTATGAAAGATATATTGAATTAATTTTCATTTATATTCTGTAACAGAAGGTAGCTTACCTTCTATTTCATTGTCGAACTCATCCTTGTAGTCTGTTTCGTTGCTGTTCGAATCTAAAAAATGATGTATATTAGTCTTATTTATATGCAATTATTCTAATTATAATTTATAACACTGATGTCATCTTACATTATACTTAAAAAGATTCTTTTTCAAAGAGCCATATATGATATATTGTATTTATGAAAATATTAATGTCTAAGCTTATTATTATAGGTAAATTAATATTATCAAAGTGACTATTACTTAGACAAATTATACAAAGAACTATTATATATAGAATTATACACACAAATTGTTTCCTATTGGTTTCCCGCTTTAACAATTAATATCCTCAAAAATATTCGGATAAACTAAGAAACCATCTTGGGTAATGTTTTACGAAAAATTATATTTATATAATTCTAACTAAACTATAATGAGATTATAATATCTCGTGAATCCTTGAAAACTCACCTTCTTCATATATGTTAACTGTAACAGCGGCGTTAACCACACAAAACACTGTCACGAGATATATTAACTGGAGACCCGACATTACGATGAACTTCAGCTCCGATAACTATTATGAAACTAACTTATGATTTGGTCAGGGCCTTTTTATATACTATCGGTTCTCTAGACGGGACTGAACCGGGATGACTGTTCCAGATTTGTAAACAATCCATTGTATACATATGGTCTTGTTGTATTGAATCCTTAGTATGTGTTTATGAGTAAACCAAAAGTGTGTAAGTTATCGGGCTCGATAATTTTCGACGATTGATAATTTTTTTTTGAGTATTTTGCGTATTTACTAATTTCTGTTTACGACTTCGTCTGTGTGTTTATCGGAATTAAGTTCAACGAGAAATGTGTGCACAGTGTTAAAACTAACTACTCTGTTAACTTGTGTGTTAAATCAATACTCTGCCTCACGTAACTTCATACACAATAAAACTATTATTCTTCGATAGCAAGGTAATTAAACTACATCTTTCTTTTCTCTTAGCTTCATTACAGCATAATTTCGTCAAAACCCGTTGGTAGTTTTTGTACGCCTATCTTTACATCACATCCTTATAAAACTTTCGCACTTATAAAATGAGTGGGACATACATATATAACAATCATACTAAGGATACGACTCAGAAATTTAACTGATAAGAAATGCTTGCTTAGTTCAAATATTTATAAAATAAATACTATCAAAGCTTTGTCATGAAATAGAAACCGACCGAATTACCCATTGATATTATAAACAAAAATGGTTTATTACGTTTAGTTTTTTGTTTAAACTTGTTTTCAGAAATAAGAACAAAAAAAATATTGTTCATGTATGATCTACATAACTGTAGTCTAAGTTAAAATAACTATAATAATTGTAGCAAAAACATAATATTAAATTCATCACATACACTTCGCCAATATTTTATCCTTCCTCGACTTCATTTGATGAAAATCTACTAGATGTTCCTTTCCTGATAAAACATTAAAATATATAATTTGTCTTATTAATCGAGTCTAGTTTATTTAATTGTTAAAGCAAGAATTCGGTGAGATGAGTTACAGATTGGAATCCTTTTAAATATAAGCTCAACATTTAGGTCATAATTATACTTTAGTCATCATACGAATGATCTCCATTTTATGCACCAGAGCTGTTCAAGAGATGGTTGACGTGTCCCACTTTCCAGGGTACATGAACATGCGAAAACCAAACATGCTAATCAAGCGTCCTAAGTTATTGACAATTTGAATTTACGCTGTATTATGAGCAGAAGTTCTATCGACTGCAATCATAAAGATAGATATAATACATTATATTATTTTCCTATGCCATTCTCAAGATACAAACGAACAAAATAGATATTGTAGTGAAATAAATATTGGTGTTCAGTGACCTGTTTGAAACCGGGTAGCGTCGATAAGTATGCTAAAGCTATTTTATTATTAATAACGGAACAGTTCCCTTTAAGTTAAATAAATAAGAAACATTTATTATTTTGAATTATAGCAATTTCTATGTTTATAAATGAAGTAGTGACGTGTTGAAAAGAAAACTAATGTAAGGTAATACTTTACAATTGTAATAGTTTTTTCTATTATATAAAAGTATTAAAGTGTACTAACGTGTTAATTTTCAAGCATAGCTCATATATATAATTACCATTCATTTCTTATTTCTCTATTTATATATGGAAGGAAGTTTTATGATCCAACAAAGTGTTACCAATTAATTTACCACAAATTATATGTATATTAAGCTATCGAGTTGGAAACTCATATCATAGCGTTGTTTAGTATTGAGTCATACTGTGGTACTTTATGTAATGTGAGAGGTTTTTTACGGGGAATTCCTTTAACTTAATGGTAGGAGTCAAACAGAGCGCCCGCATATAAACGACTATATCAATTTACGCATTATAAAATAATGCTGCACTGCACAGTTGTATTTACATTAATTCGCGTCGCGTTGATAACCGACTAGTTCTTGTAATTCTAACGATATCGGCCAGTCAAGTATCATTATTAAACAAACGTGCTTGTGATAACGTTACTGGAATCGTGCAAAATAAAATGAGTTTTTATTTCAACATGTTTGTCATGTTGCTTATTATAAGCGTTGGATTCGAAGGTATATTATATTGAAACTATGTTTTTAAAGAGACTTCTCATTAAATATGTTTTAAAATATCTGTCTGCGTATTGTTTTTTTGGATTTTATGTAATAATTCGTTTCAATATCTTTATATTCCCAATATTGTGTTTGTGTTGCTAGCTGACTCAGTCGGGATGGAAACAAAAACGTGACACCAAGTTTCATTACTTTATGCTAATTTTATTGGATAAAAATTGTACCGAACAAAAGATTTTTTTTTTACAAAATATTTTTTTTTTCAAAATCTTTCAATATCTGCTTAAAATGGAATGACGTTTTCAGATATTGTTATTAAACAAATATTAATGCAAGTCATGAATTAGTCAATGAAATTATTCATTTATATCCCTTATTTGGAACTTGACAATAAGCAAAATAAGGGATTCGGGACATTCATTCCTATAAATTCAGATCTGTTTCGAGCATAGTCGTAACTAAAATTTATGTTATAGGAACATAAAGTTCTAAGCAAATATCGTAATATATTTTACGGTTTTCCTCATAATTCGAAAATGTCGATGTCTTCTGATGAGGAAAATATTAATTGGCATTGCAATAAGTAATAACTGGTAGACAGCCTTGGCTTTGATGTGGCATTTTAATTATCCCAGAGCTAGTTTAGTTAGACCTCATTAATAGACTGTAGTGAGCTATAGTTTCGTAGATATTAATGTTTAATGATCTTTAATTATTATCTTCCATCTTGCAGTGGTTTTCTTTAAATGAGCATCAATTATATTGTTAACAGTTACAGATATTAACAAAATAAGAAAAAATTACATTAATTATTTACGATTTAGTATGGTTATGTCAAACGTTTGTTTATTAACTGTAGTAACACTTGTAGACCACTATTGTAGGTTCTATTGGGTTTCACAAGAATTCTCCTGTTTCGGTGTATATTTGTACTAAACTTTTGAAAAAAAATTGTTATGTATCTTAAGACACGATTGCCGAATGCTTAGCTACAATGAACAAGAAGTAATTGTACCAAAAGGGTTCTATATATACATATATATCCTTGAAAAGTAACAGAAAGCTTATATATAGGAAAAAAACTATTGATATTATTAGTGAAACAATGGTTATTCATTGTGAATAATTAACACATTTTGCAACTTCTAGTCGCTAGATTATCATCTCTATGCGAGAGTATTGTGAAGAACAACACTAACTTATATGTAACATTGTTAGATTCCTTAAGATAAAATATAAGTTATACATATAAAAGAAAGCTTTAAACTTTTTTTTTTTTTTTAAGGGGAAAATCATCAAATGACCCCTCTTGCCTAGGTGGGGCAAGAGGGAGTGTCAGACTCTTACTGACTAAAAACCCCCCGTACCTACTCCTGCTCCGAGCCTGGCCGCGGTACATCATTGCGCTTACACCCGCGACCTGGCCAGGCATCGGCTCTAGGGCCCCATCTGTGATGGTCCGATGGCTCTTTCAGGCGCGCGCGGTACGCTACGCGCCGTACGCTCGGGTCTGGTTCTGATCGGGCGGCAAGCTACCCTTGCTTGCCGTCCGCAGACCCGCGCTTACGGTGGCTGGAGATCATCTCGTGATCCCCAACGCCTGGTGCGTCCCCTGCGGCGGCTGGGGCGTGAGGAGGATCGTTCCCTCACGCGCTCCGCCTCCTCCTTCGCTAGCATGACTGCTTCGCAAAAGGAGGAGACTGCCTCCCAGTTCCTCTTGCTCCGCACCATGGCCTGAACTAAGGCCGGACGCGAGAGGTCGCCGCCGCCGAAGCTTTAAACTTGGAGATTAATATTTGTATTGCAATCTTAATTAACCATACGTTATTAATATTATAGCTAGTATGCTAAAGTGTAAACTATTTAATTGTTATATAAAGTTTTTGTAACTGTATTCTTTCAGTGACCGTTACCGCTGCTGTACGCCATCGGTCTTGTAGATTGGACTGTTCAGAATATTGCCAAACCAAAGGTATTTCGGAAGGAAGATGCAGTCGCAATGGTGCATGTATATGTCAACGATCGTTTTACAATACATAAATGACTAGTTGTACATAAAATACATACATTCTAGTATATAAATAGCTGATTTACTTTTAGAAATTTTATATTCAATATTATTTTGTGATTTCTGTAATAGTTAAATATATTTTTTAAATTTAAACCACAACACATAATTTGAGAAAACAAACATAAAATTGAAATATGTACAAAGATTAAAGAATACAAGTTTCTATAGCATAATGAGATCTAAGACTTTCGCTTGTATTGATTGAAATGAAAATAATATTTTTCTATATATGTACTATGCGATTTTAATCTTTTCTGTCCCTGATCACGGTAGCTGCAAAATAACTAAAACGTCGGGAGTATGAAGTTAAAATACTCAATCGGGTAATAAATCCGAAAAATATTAATTTCATTTCATAGTGTAAGATATGTAATGCAATTATTTTTTTCAATTAAGTTTATCAGTATTTTTTTCTAAATATACATATTGCAACAATTGTAAAAACACGAGTTAATTTTTTTATACATTAAACAGTATGCCGTAGTCACGTGCAAAATATATTATTTATGAAAGTTAGTAATTTATTCAAAAAACATTAGGGTAAGGACTTAAGCCAAATAAAACAAGTGGACACTTACAAACGCCCTTCAGTTTAGCGAGACCCCTAATTATATAATCATGTTTATCGCCTCACTGTGCCGGAATTGAAGTATGCTCTTGAGTATGAATGCTGGTAAATCTACATTATTATATGTACCCTACTTACAGTACAGAACATTCAAATCAAATAATTAATTTTCATTTTAGCTATAACTTCTTCTTAAGTTATGATAACCTGCACATAATATATATATATATATATATATATATATATATATATATATATATATATATATATATATATATATATGTATTTTTGGTGAAATAATGTAATTTATTATTGAGTGAAATATACATACATATATGTATCTGTACACAATTTTATATGACAATTCTTTGAGCGTTGTTTCGTTGCTCGTAAATTAAATTCCTATTTTAATTTTATTGTATTAAAGCGTTTTTCTTAACTAAGATATTGATAAAATTATATTTTTTATAATTAATAAACGAACCAAACGAAAACAATATTTCAAATTGTATATTATATTTGATCAAGAAATCCAACATGAAAAAGGTAATCCAGTGATTTTTATTAATTTAGTTATGCATTTATTTCCTTCTTCGTCTTGTGTATTGAGACTTTTAGATTTCAATTCACATACAATAACTCTGAGCTTGTATCGGGACCACCAGATACGGTACGGCAACACAAAGCTTTCTAAATGTCCTAATAAAATAACAGTACCTTTGTATTTGTTATAGAATGTTCTCGGAATTCTGTTGTTTCATTGTATGAATTATTTATCAGATAAATTTAACAGAGATTAAACTATTTGTACGTCACATATTTATGGTAGTGAAAGGTTTATTTTATGGAATGCTACTCCATTTTTAAATCTAAACCATTAAAGTAAAAACATTATATGTGAATTGGAGACAAAAATCTAAATTATTATTAAATAACTATTGTTTTATATATAAGTATATTGAAGATTTTAATAATATCAGTATAACCCGTAAGACCCATCTTTTGACATTCAGTATACTCGTAATACTGGCAGAGAAAAAACAAGTATGTAGTTTGTTGAGATTTAAAATATATGAAATAGTTTGTGTATCAGACTAGTTGTGTTTATTTAGATTACAGAATTTAAAAGTTTATCTATTTAATTAATAAAGTGTTATTTACAAAATAAATTTAGAGCAACCTAAAATTTTAAGGTTCAGATATTTGGAAAAATATAACGTTTACTTGGAGATTCGTCTTTACCTATGAAATCATGATTCTATGAAAATAACATGATGTTGGCCATATGATAAAGTGATTTAACATTCTGATGGACAGCGTTTTTTTTCAGGCTGAAAAACAGCCTCTTTGTTATATTTCTTGGTGTCTTTTTTATGGATTTAAACCAAAGATATCTTTATACCAAAACCTGGGTTCTCCAAACTATAAATCGTACATGGACATCAAAGAACCCAAATATTTTACATTTCCTCATAAAATTCTCCAAGAAGTAAAATTTTGTATCATATCACGAGCAATAACAATTAATTCTAAGTTAACATGAACTATTTGGTTATAACTCAAAAGCAAATATTATAACGTAACAGTGATATATGTTCTATATAATATTTTTTATATGAAGTACTACACAAACGTTGGCTTATCAAAGATTTCATATGAATGTGGTAACAATACCGTTTTAATAGTTTTTTAATATGTTGTTTGTTTTAAATAGCTATCATGCTGCTATTTTTGTGTAAAATAATTTTAAAACAGGGCCACGGCTACTTTTTACTATATAGGTTGTTGCGACCTAGTTATAAGAACATCGCAGATTAATATAGCTCAACCCGACAAACTTTACTTTAGTAATTATAGCAAATTCGTTGGAGCCAAAATTATGTACTTAGGCTAATAACCTATCGCCCTCAATTCACGAACGTATTTACACAGCGCTGATATGATCACCTGTAAACAAACGACTTGTTTACAATTTGTCATTTGGAGGTTTGTTCCGTGTTTTACATTGCACAAACATTAAATGAAGTTTGCTTTCTATTACAAATACACATGAATATAAATGAAATAAATAAGTAAATGAAAGATTTTAATTAAGCTATCATCTTTATTTGGTGGGTTTTTACATTTAATACGAAACTTTTGCAACTGTATAATGAATAAAGAAGATAATTAAATGTTGGATTGCTTTGATATTTTTGTTACTTTTCTATTTACTGTCTTCGATTGTCGATGTTTACGCAGAAAAAAAAGATTTCAGAAAACAATTCTAAACTTCGCATAGCTGCGTCAAAATCCACCATTCCTTATAAAGACTACTAGCATCGAATGCATCATAATATAATACACATACGTTAACAATACATAATACAATCGAGTTATGATACAGAGAAGTATTTATTTTTCTTTATGCAAAAGGATGAATTAAAAGTATTGCAGTAAGTTTACTTAAAGTATAACTCAATGAATGAGTGCATTACGCTTAATTATGAAGAGTGGCATTTAATAAAATTTCAACAATCTCAAAGAAAAACAAGATTAAATATCAAAAAACATTGGAATACAAAGTATTTCGAATGATAAGCGCCATTTTCAGTACTGAGATATAATTTAATTATTAGATGGTATTATCGGTCAACGTAATTTTTTTTTAACTCTTAGAATTTAGACACCACTAACAGATGGGAAGGAAAACATCGCGAGGAAACCCGAACTTATAATTTCAATATATAAGTTTGAGATCGCCAATCCGCCTTGAGCACGCGTGGTGATTAATGCTCTAACTTTTCCATGTGGGAAGAAGCCTTTGCTTCACAGTGGGCTCCGATAGGCTGATGATGATGCTTATTGGTAATACTGCGGTTATGATGGTAGAAAATCTGCAGATAGGTTAATATGATTTAACTATATTCACTTATTAATTTCCTAAATCTACTGATTATATTGTGAATCTTTGATTGATTTAAAACAATGCTTACTAGAATTATTTGTTATTTTTCTGTCTTATTCACTATAATATTTTCTATTTCATTTTATTAACGTCAATATTTATTTATATATAACTTCAGACTGCGGTTAAACATATACTCGTATGTAACATACTGATGAGACACAATTTTAATTAATTTCACGCTACTGCAAACATTTAGTTGACTGAGGTTTTAGAGTTTATCTTATCAAAGAGAAAACAGTGGACGATATTATTTTCTAGGAAAAACTCAAAAAGAAAAGTAGTAACAATATCAATATTAATAATTATTATTATAGAAATGTAAGGTTTGGAAAAAACTTAGTAATACCTTTTATGAAATAATATTTATTTATTTTTATCACTAATATTTAATTGAAAATCTTATTAATCTAAAGCTGAATATTTTATAATTATAAATACATGTATCATAAAGAATTTTGTACACATCAGACTATCTGGGTCACGATGATATTAAAATTAATAAAAATATTTAGAAAAACCATTACATCTTTCTGTATTGTTTTAAATAATAAAGAATAATACAATTTAACACAGTATTACATCCGCGTTGATGTAAGGAAAAAGAATATTGTACAATAGTAACAGAATTTATTACAACAAATGGCACAAAATATTGTTGACTCGTAATATTTTATTGGATCTTTAATACTGAACCACTATTGTACTCTTATAAAAATAGTCTATCCATTGAAGTTGATATTTGTTAAGAAAGGATGCTGTGGTTTTATCGTAAACATTGACATCCATTGATGGTGCAGTATCCTCCATTGCGGTATCCACGCTGCCTACACCTGGCAATGCACTCGTAAAATACACATGGGGTAAATGGTGGCTTAGCTGTTATTGTGATTGGCTTGATTATTTGTCTCTTTTCTATTTCGTGGATAAACTCTGAAAAATGAAGTGACCGCTATATTAGATTGTCCTTTTATGAAATGTATCCCTGGAATCTCATTTAAACAAATAAAAAAGCTCATCCTCAATTTCTATGGTCGATAAAAATAATTACAAATCGGTTTCGTTTTTTTTTTCTTTTAATGAAATAGAGTTTGAACAAATATTTATATGTAATTAAATGGAACCAAGGAAATAAGGAAATACTCGTAAAATTCCCTGTAAAACTAAAGAAAATACAACCTAATATTATATTAACGCATACAAGTTTTTATAGTTTTTTTTTTATTATTGAACGCTATTGATACCAGAATGAATGACTTATTTTTAAACTGAGGCCGTTTGTTTTTATAAAATCATACAGTATTGCATTGTTAAATGTTCACTGAAACGCTTCGGAAATATTAAGAAGAATTTCAGATATCTGTTTTTCGAGAATAATTAGTCATGTTGTATGTGAGTATTCGTTAGTGAATATAATGACATCTTTTATTATGATTACAAAGTGTGAGGAGTTTGAATATATAATTGAAAAAATAAACATGAAACAAATATCTTATCGTGGATTACACATCATATTATTATTAAAAAAGTTGACTGACCTGATGACTCCTCATTTTCAGCAGAAGCCACAAAGGCGATTGCAAAAACGACCAATAATACAAAAAATGCCTTCATGATTCAATCACAAATGTGTCTGTTGGGAAATGGGATTGAAGAGCGTATATATACATCCATGAAACGCCTCCGGACATCTTTGTATCGATCTTATATATTCGCAAGTTATTTATACATATCCACATTAAATGTTGTACAGAGAAATTCTTTCCAGTTAAACCAGCAATGTATGTTAAACAGAAATTCTTTACCATGTGTAAGTTAAGCCGGAACGAGCCGAGGGAATACCCGGAGTAGTGTTACTGTTTTACCCTAGTAAAGAATTGCAACCGTATTAGCGGCCACACAATTTTTAACTGTAATATATTGAGCAGAGAGTTGGTTTTCGTTATGAATATTACGGTTTTCTTTATTTAGAAATGTATTTGAATTGCTGGAGATAAGATTAGCGATGAAATGTTTTTGTGTACACACGTTACACTTTTGCGAATTTCTAATTGTGTTTCCTTTGAGTAATTCATTTTGTGTTTAAATGATTTACTTTGTTTATAATCCTTTTAGAACTTTTAACGCAATAAGTATTATGTTAGCAGCATTTTTAAAAAATTGTTAGACACTTGTCTAACCAGAATTTATGGTTAGCAGTTCATAATGACTTTATATTAATTTAGAGGTCGCAAATAAGTCTATGTGAACCATGAGAAATAAGTAATAATAATAGCAGAGATTTCTATATACTAAAAAAACAAGTAAGGTTTTTGCTTTATTTAATCAAATACCGGGACGCAAACAAATTCTCTTCAGAAGTAACTTTGAGGCAGCTTTACGCGCATTTATTTTTAAACGCAGTGCGCCAGATATTTGTAAGGCTGCTGCGTTTAAAATATCGTACAAAGTGTTGGGAGGAATATAACGTTTGGTAAAAATTTACTAGTATATTTGAAGACGCTCTGTGAACACTTTATCATAAAGGTTTCTAGCTGTAGAAATGAAATGAAAATTGGAATTATATAAAATGTTGATAGTTTTATTCATTTTATATTAAATATTATCTTCTCTTATTTATAACTCAGTGATTTTAGTGAACAAGTAAATTTTATACTATAGTAATATATATAGTAATTTCTTTAAAAGCGTCCTAAATCTTTTTATGTAATTCATAAAATCAAAGTTAAAGATGCTTATAATTTTTGCATATTTCGGGTTCGATAGATGCAGATGTTTAAAATTAACATACAATCAGAAACACAAATTGAGACTAATAGAAATATTAGAAGTTTTATCCCAACATGTACTAAGTATTACCTAAATAAAAAATTGCGTCTCTGAAGTACCTACATTGTGATTTATATCGTACATTGTCTGGATAGAACTGTGAAAAGTCGTTATTAGTTAATAAATGACTTGTAGAAAAACTACCGAGAAGGTGAAATTAAAGTAAGTGGAGCCAATTTCAGAAATGACATCTATTAGCACCAGAGGGCGCTACAAAGTTAATACAAGGGCATTAGTCCCTGGCATATAAGTTGAGCAAGATTTTCGATAGCCTTTATAACCTAATATATGTGGGCCTTAAATAAAATTCGGGTATACTCAATAAAGAAGGATCCCACAGTTCAACATCAATCAAATGATTATTCTTATTCAGTACGGTTACAGAATTCGAATGTCTCATCATAAATTGACAGTTCTTTTATGAATAAAAGGTAGAAACTAATCATTTTGCATGCGATGAATAAAGAGCTTATGAAATTTAAGTGATATAATCAAGGTTCAATCGTTATATTTTTAATACTGCAAACATTTAAATATTAATACGTGATTTGGTTTAAAAAAAATACTTTAGGAATGTTATAATTTTTTGTTGACATTATAATGTTAAAATAGATATTTTTTATGAGGTTTAGAATCAGTAACATTGAAGAATAAAAAACTTGAGTTAGATTACGAAGAAAATAATTTACATCTTATTCATAGAAACTTCTATAGCAGTAATACATCACTAGATCGATCTGGTATGTAATGTTTTTAAAGTCACTGAGTAGTTATTTGCCTACCATAATTGACATATTTTTTTTATTTCTTTCATTCAATTGAACCATTTTCGACCGAGAACTCACTATATCCAGTATGAAGTGCTCATTGTGGCTTGACTTTCTTTGTTAGTAATAAGTTTATATAATAGAAAATCCATCGAATTCAATTAACACTATTTTTATTCCTAAACAATATATGTAGTTATGACATGAATAGCTTGAACGTAATTTAAGTGATAGTCATATCTGTCTTTTGTATCAATAAAAATTCCTCGATCAAGTTTAAAATATCCAAATGAACTTTTCCTTTTCCCACCCGTTCCTGCCCTTTCAAAAGTCGAGGGTGGCAACGCATCCGAAATATGTTGCGGATATCTATGGGAGACGGTACTATCTCTATCAGGTAGGCCGTCTGCTCGTTTACCCCCTTTGTCATAAAAAAGAATTAAACTCTATTTTTATCTATTGCAAAAACAACCAATTTATTTAATTATAAATTTAATAATAATTATTTATTTGAAATTAAAACTAAATAAGTAAATGATTTAAAATCAAATAATGTGGTTAATATCATTAAGTTGTTCAAATATAATATATGTATTTATCGACTCTCAGTTCTTGGAATGCGGTTAATTACCGGTTTTGCGGGACTTCCCCTAATGTCGATGCACCTTTTGCACTAATTATTATGTAACGGTTTTTCTGTTATCTTTTTTATCAAAATACATACGTATTTTGTATATAATAATGTAAAGATGGAACTTTAACCTATATTTTTATACAAGTGTATTTTTAGATAAGTTTGCTTGTAGCAGAATGTGTTAATATGTAATACACATACACACACACACACAGACTCACACATACATGCACACAGACATATACATATATATATATATCTCTACAGATAACATTTCTATTTCTCAGCTTATTAAACTATCTTCCATATTTTCCTGTTCGTCTCATACGCATCACAACAACTAGTCAGATAACACAATTTAAGTTCGTCAGTAATCGCTGCGTCGTCTGCCTCCGGCATGGCTGTGTATCTCTCCGAGAAATACTGAGCGTTGAGTCTCAAATAATTTTTGGTTGCATTCAAGAAATATAGTGCGTTATCCATATTAAAAAGGATTTATTATTTAACTACTCGAAAAACATTTATTTACGTTCCCGTGGAACTCCTATCGGTAAGAAACTTGTATAGGTTAACGAAAATAACGCCGAGTTATATGGAATTATCTTATATTCTTACGCCTTACTAATCATTATAGCATAATAGTTTTCTTACGTCTTCTTTAGAACTCATTATATATTCATTCGATTATTTTATACAAGCTCCTTTTTTTCATTTCGTCATTCAACTGTTCTACTTTTTGTCCTTAATCAATTTTGTAGCATGTTCATATAAAACTGTCATTCTACAACAATGGCTGAATATGATGACACATTAAGATAAAAAGAAATGTAATAGAGATAAAACTCAATGTTATTATAAAGGCTGTATTTTTGCAAGACATCATAAACAACTCTAAATAAAATGTGTAGGAAATAAAATAAACAGGAATAAGAATATGCATAATTGAATATAGAGCCAGAAAAATTCGCCGCTACCTATAATATTAATAATCGCTATCCAGAACCAGTCAGAAAAATGAAGATAAAAGAATTTATTACAAATATTAATGCAATTTTATACTTAATGATCGATATGAGATTTCAAGAAAATTAAATATGTCGGACCTTAAAATACATGTACATTAGGTTAATTCAGGTTTGAAAAATCATATTTTTTTTAAAGAATGAGAATTGTTAGAAAATTCACTTAGTATGTGGTATACATAATCAAGTAAATTCGATAAAGAAGAAGTCTCATATGTTTTCAATATTTGAAATCTAACATTTTTATTAGAAGATCCAAGCCATCAATACACATACATATTTTTTACTCTCCTTGACTTTATTTTCTGGCATAAGTATGTACGTATGATATAAAATTAAGATAAAGGGGTACTTAAATTTGTTATAATAAAATTTTCTTCATTAATTTGTTTCTTTTTGTCTAAACCTGTTTTTGCTACATGGCATTTATATCCGTGTGTTGCTACTTTATTGATCAGTAAGCGCTGGAATTTACAAACCCGCTATTTGTTTCATCCCTATCTTTCACGAGCTATTGATGAGTAGTTTTTCGATAGGTGTGGGTTCCGATGTTCGCAATTTATTTTATGGGACTAACTTTTTTGGGAAAAATGTGCGTGACGACGATTTTGTTTTATCGAGTTTTATCTGTATAATAGTTTTTGATAAGGCAAACGATAATATATTTGTTTTTTATTCAACTTATTCTCCACTTGTAAATATTACTACTTAATATAACTAGCGTAACTAGGTCTTTCAGAATATCATGTTATTTATATTAACTGGATAGGGAATGAAAGGAAAAATATTTCATTTTTACCTATGCTTCAAAAAATCAAATACATCATGTAATTGGAACATTTAAACGTCAGTCAATTTCAAACAAAACAAACAGGTTTATGAAAAGGCTTACACTAAAATAAAATTTGGCTATTGAATTTCAGAAGAATATTTAATTAATGTTTTGCAAACAATTGTTTTATATGTAACAAAGATCTGTTTTAAAATAAGCAAAAAATATATATGTTTTTGTAATATTTTTCATCTATTGTTGAAATAGTAATGTATTTTTAGGTTTCGAGTTCTTTGTTAAACATGTTTGTTTTAAGTATGGAGATGTTTATTTTAATTAAAACGCAGTTTACAATAGATCTTAAAAATTAAGCTCCATGAATGTTAGTTTTAACTTTATTTTTAAGCTCAACGGTATACATTTACGGGATATACGCTTTTAAAAGAAAGACGGGAAACCATTATTTTCCATTAAAAGAAAGGCGGTTAAGACGGTACACAACATTTAACTGGATTATGTTATATATAATGTTTAAAAAACTTATTATATACATTAAAAATAAAGTATTATTCAAAATTAGATTAGAATTA